AATATGGATCTATTAAGAAGTGAATTCAAATTTAAAATTTCTCCACCCAATTCTTGAAGGATATTTCATTTATATATTAGAAAAAATGCTAGTCAATATTGTAAAACTCACAAAATCGGCAAACAAATTAATTTTCATTTAATGAATTTTGCATAATTTAACGAACACAAAAGAAGCAACAAATTTTTTGACAATAAGAAAATCAAATTAGCCATTTAAATCATAATGAAGCTATTAGCATCCGAATTACATTATACGTTCGTTGTAATTTACCTTATTATGATTGGATAATATGGGATGAAATGGTCATTATACTTTTTCATCCATCTTCTCCTTTTTTGAAATGCTCTTCAATTAAGTTCTATTATCGATTTTACGACACATTTATAAGCCGTCATTTTTCAGTATTAAGTACGACAATTTCAATGCATCACGTACAATTCTTTCATAGCTTGATACCAATAAGCTAATAAGCTAATGATAAATGATTATTCGGCTGTGTTAGCAAATTTGTTGCTATAATATCATTGAAAATTGAATGGCGCAAATTGTTTAACATAGAATGTTCATTATGTACTTTTTAGTGATAAATGCTGAGACAATTGCAAATTTCATTTACTTCAGATATTATTATAAACTTAGCAAAATTTAAATCTAATAACATTTACCATATTAGAAGCTGTAATTTAGAATATTCTTCAAACCAATAATTAAATTCTTTCCTTTTCTTGCCACTTTTACATGGAATATTATAATATAATTATCCGACAAACAATTATAGTTTAGATATTCAGGCGAAAAATTGGTAAATTGAAATGTGATACCTGAATTTCATTACTAGCATTTAGCTCAATCATTCTATACAAACGTCAATTTAGCTTGAGCATTTGCTTAGTCCAGGAAAACATCTTTTTTAATATATATCATAATAATAGCCGTTAGCATAAACTTGTAGATGAATATACCTGTCATTTGTTTGTGCCATCCATATTGAAATATTTCACTTCAATATTTCTTCCTTTCATTTTGTTTTGGAGATGAAATCTGGAACATCAAAAATGCATAACATGATATTTAATCTCTCTGACTAAATAATATTTCTGAAATTGAAGTTTGAGTTAATCATTAATAAATAAAATTTCATTTTAATCATTAATGAATTTCTCCTCCAACAAATGCATCCAATCGATATACACAAAGGTAAGAGTAATATTCAAATAAAAAAAAAAATGGAAGAATAAATAATAAGTCAAATTTTACTATCAAAATTGAAGAAAAAAGAGAGAGAAATGCAAATTTCAGATTGAAAAATGAATCGATTTAATTTCAATAATAAGCTAACTTTGCATTTTCAGGGAATGAATTTCTTAGCGAAACATTTCTTCGAATATCAATCGTTAAATAATCGACCGCATTATGCTGTACAGTTACATAAATTGGTTTGTCGGTTATTTTTATTGAAGTGTAAAATAAGTTTTCATTGAAGTGCAAAATAAATCATTCATGAATTTTAGCCACCTTCACAAGCTGGTGCTGATCAATCGGCATCCTGGGCTCCGAAATCGATGATTAAAGCAGGGAAGAATCAGGCTGCACCTGCAGCTCGTGCTAATCGTGCTAACACTGAAGTAAAACTTGGTACACATCGTTATGGACGGGCAGCCAAACATGAATTTCGAGACTGGGGCGATAAGCATGGCGGTATACCAATTAATATTGCTAATTATCGTCTCCTACTTAACACCAAATAATTTTTTTTTTCATTTTTAATGATTTGCAGATTTTATTTTTACTGGTTACTGACATTTCTTTTTATCCATTCTATGACTGATAGATGGCAAATATGTAATTTATCATTATTGTTCAATTTTACTACTGCATTTTTGCAATTTCAAAAATTCGAATTTTATTCGCTTATTTTAAATACGCATTTATTTGCAGAACTAAAAGGCGAAAAATTAGCACCACATAAGGATCCGTTAACCAAATTTCTATCAAATGAAGAAAATACACCACGTAATTTGTTTGATTGCGAATTTGAGGAACGAATTTTTCAAACGGAACCGGAAACTCTGCCGGAACAATTAGCACGGACTAGTAAAGCCGATGAAATCGATTTGTCGCTTTCTAATGCCGATACATCCCCTGTATCTTTACAATCCCTTTATTTTTTAAGTTAATTCAAACTTTTTTTTTTTTGGATCTCAAATTTGTTCAAATTTATTGAATTGTAAAACAGATAGAAAAATTAAATAAAATTTACTATCATCCATTCTTGCTACCCATCCATATCTCGATCAATTGATTTACTACTTCTCCTAATTGAACTCTTTCGAAAGCTTTTGCTAATTTCCTTAATTGCAAAATTTTACAATTAGAATTAAAAGGCTAAAAGCTTTTAATATTTAGAAAAGAAAAACAAAAAACAAAAACCTATTTCTTGTTTTTTTTTTTTTTTTTAGGGCATAAAACATGAAACAAAAATACTAACTATCCTAACATATGCGCCAAATGTTCAATTTATAACGGCTACCGTCAAAAAGGCTAAATTATTACCTTTTAATAATAGTAAGTCTTATTTGCGTATTACGTTTTACATTATTAACACTTTTTAAATTTCAAATCTAAGGTTAGCTTCTTAAAATGGTAATAGTTGAATTTTCTTTAGAACCATTTGCTCGGGTAATGTTGTTTGATAAGCGTCGCCTGTTGGAGCAGAAACAAACAACGGTGACACCAACATCTGTTTGTAGTAGATGCCTTACTATTGATTGGTATGAAATGTTTATCAATTCTATCAATTTTAGTAGTACAAAGTTTTAGAAATGCATGAACCTTAATTGTTAGAATGACAATTTAAAATAATTTAGAATTATAATACATAATATATGCTTACCAATGTTTTCATATGCATTTATCAATCGATCCATATATTAATCAATGATTTCATATTAATATATCTACAATATTTAATTTCATGTTATGATGCAATGACCAATCTATTAGTAACATAATTTCAATTAACAAGAATACAATTTAATTACTTGCGCCAAATTCCACCTTAAGAAAGTACAATTTTGACAGTTGCTTTCTGATAAACTTATCACTACTTTATATGCACCATAGATCAGATCAAATTTCTATTTTAGTACACTACAAAAGCCACCCATAGCAGGTTCTCCATCGTCTTCCTCATCAGCTGGCTGTTCTAATACAAAACTTTTAATACCACCGACGGATGCCATCTTTTCGGAGTCATTTCTATTTCGTGTCACACCACAAATGCTTGATAGATGCCATATTGTCATCGAGGTATGTTGTTCTTAAATTCCTTCCTTTCTTTAAAAAAAAAAAAAAAAAAAAAAGAAAAAAACAGATGAATTCAAAATAAAAAGTACTCTTTGAACGCTCTCTCTTTCATGTCTATTATTCATTACTTAATTTTTCAATATTTATTTTAAATTAGTCTATTTTTCTGAAATTTACTCTATTCATTCAAAACTTTCATCTTTCATATTATAATAGTTCAATTATTGATAAGACAGACTGTACGTTATTTGCTTAGTACCTG